GATTGGGGTGGGGATGGGATGGAAATGGGATGAGATGGGAAAAGGGATAGAGATGGGGTGGGAATGGGAAGGGTGGGACGGAAACGAGATGGGGATAGGAATGAGGCTGCAGTTGGGGTTGGGGTGGGGATGGGAGAGGAATGATTTGAGATGGGAAAAGGGGTAGAGGTGGGATGGGGATGGGATGGGTGGGGATGGGATCAGTGCTGCCCTTCAGGTCTGGCTGGAAGGTGAAGGGCAGTGGTAACCAGGGGGATCGCTGCCCTGAACCATGCGGGGGGGCTGTGGAGGCTCTGAGCTCAGCCACAATCTGCCTTTCATTTCCGCCTGGCTTTGGTGCTCCTCTCCTCACTGAACGACACGTTCCTGCCAGAACTTCATTCCCACAAGAAACCTTTTACAATGGAAAAGTCTTTAAAAATCCAACGGCCGTGGGATGGGCTGAGCCTGCAGGGCTCGGTTTTGGGACAGGCGCTGCGGGGGCTGTGGGGGTTCATTGAAACCAGGCGGGTGATCTGCTGTGCGTTTTGAGCGCGTTTCCAAACACATGGATCTCTGTCCCTTTGGCACGGCATCACTCCCTGAACCGAAACATTGAATCCTGTCCCCTCCAGGGCTGAGCCGCTGGGAGACTCTGCTGCGCTGCTCCATCAGTCCGCACTGCTCCAGCACCGCCAGGGATTGGAGGAAACCATTTGTGCCCTCCCCCCTTGTGGGTTATGGTGCTGCCCAGCTGTGCAGTGCTTCTGTATGGACACCCAGCTGTGCAATGTCCCGCATGCACATCCAGCTGTGCAATGCATACCTAGAGATGCAATGTCCGACGTGCACACCCAGCTGTGCAGTGTCCCTAAATATGTGTGCATCTGTGCAATGCTCAGCATGCACACCCAGCGTTGCAGTGTCCCTAAATAATGTGTGCATCTGTGCAATGCTCAGCATGCACACCCAGCTGTGCAATGTCCCTAAATATGTGTGCATCTGTGCAATGCTCAGCATGCACACCCAGAGTTGCAGTGTCCCTAAATATGTGTGCATCTGTGCAATGCTCAGCATGCACACCCAGCTGTGCAATGCCCCCAAGCCGTGCAAGCCCTGCATGCACGCCCAGCTGAGCATCCGCCCCCGGTCCGCCCCGCGGTCCGCCGCCGTCCCGGCATGCCCCGCTCGCTATGACTCTTCATTTTCCCCCCTTCCTCCTTCTCTATGGTAGCAGCCAGTCAGGCTCCGCCCCCCAGAGGGACAGTCCACCAATAGAGAGCGGCGGATTGACCGGAAGAGCGCGGCGGTGGCCAATGGGAAGAGGAGAGAGGCGGGACAGCGGAGCGGCGGGGTTGAGGCCGAGGCCGAAAGCGGAGCAGCGGCGCGGGGTTTGGGGTTTGTCCGAACAGCCGGCATCATGGTGAGTGCCGGGCCGGGCACATCGGGGATGGGACCGGGGTCTACGGAGCCCCGGCTGAGCGAGAAGCCGCGGGTGGGAGCTGGGGGGAGGGCCGCTGCGGCTTCTCAGCCGGAGCTGTGGGGGCAGAGCGGTGGGGGAAGGCCTGAATGTGGGAACCTAAAGGCTGGG